AAAACCAGCGGGTTCAAAACATGCTAAACACTCATCGAACCATGCGAACCCGAAGAAACCATCTTCATTTCACCTAGTACCCTCTGAGGCCCTGGCAGCCAACTTCGCGTCTCGCCTATCCGATATCCCATCTCATAGCCCCAAGCTACCACAGGGGCCTTAATAATTTCAATTGGGTTTTGGGACCCATTTTACTCTTAATATAATAAGAAGCCCCCAAAGCAGTATAGGTAATTATCAAGGCCCCTATAATATCGTGCCCTTCTAGTAACCCTTATAGGGCCCTTTTAAAGGAACCTTTTAAAAGAACCCTAGTATAGGTAATTATCAATCAAGGCCCCATTCCTTTTACTATGTCAGCTCGGGCCCTGCAAAGGGACACGAGGACTGGAAGTGGACTTCTCTTGCAAACAGGGATGCCCTTCTTTCAAAAGCCCCCCGCCGTCTATCCGCATCAAGGCGAGACAAAGCTGTAATATGACAACATGCAGGCGGCTGATACAAAGATTTTGAACGTAGTCATCATCTTTTTTTGTTTCGTGCACACTGCATACGACAACATGCTTACCAAGACAGACCTGCATAGACACCTACGTAAATACATCCATCATACATTCATACATGCATAAAAAACACATTAACATATGCAGGAACAAACCTGTGCATCACTGCATGGCCATGTAAATCAGCAAATATAGAAACACGTGTAGAAGTAGAATGTGTCACGCCATGTTGCGTCATGAGACAGTCGCATGCATCAAGGGCCCGTGCCTGGCATGGGAGTGGCCCTGATCGAAGTGGTAAGACACCGAAATCTGAACCGCATCGGCAGCTCCTCTCGCTGCACAGATTGTCGAGCAAGCATCCGAGGAATGAAATTTACCAAGTACTGTAGTTTGGGTCATATGTTCGTCTCAGAGATGTTAAACAACGGTTCGATCGAGAGAACATACTGCACGACAAGCGGTCGTGCGGCAGGGTTTTCGATGATTTTCGCTCACCATGGGCAGAGGCTCACAGACAGCAAAGACGGATTCACACTGAGGATTGATGCACATCCGGGAAAACACCCCGCTCCTGCTCCTGCTCCTGCTCCTGCTGCTGCTACTGCTACTGCTACTGCTGCTCACCTGCTGCAGCTACTGCTGCTACTGCTATCGCTACTTCTACTTCTACTTCTACTGATACTTCTCCTGCTACTGATACTGCTGCTGCTACTGCTGCTGCTGCGGCTGCTGCTATTGCAATTGGCACTACTACTACTACCACTACTACTACTGCTACTACTACTACCACTACTACTACTACTAGTACTAGTTCTAGTAGTACTACTAGTACTACTACTAGTACTACTAGTACTACTAGTACTACTAGTACTACTAGTACTACTAGTACTACTAGTACTACTAGTACTACTAGTACTACTACTACTACTACTACTACTACTACTACTACTACTACTACTACTACTACTACTACTACTACTACTACTACTACTACTTCTACGACTATTACAACTACTACTGCTACTACTACTTCCTTCCTTCCAATCGCGGCCCGGGGTCCACCTAGCGGGTCGGCGAGCTAAGCCCGGCTACCGAAGCAGCGATGTCTAAGACATCCCAATAAAGTCTTCAGAGTGCCAGCCCCGATCCTCGGATCCAAGCGAGCTGGACAACTTGAGCCGTAGCTCAGCAGTTACACTAAGAATACTGGCCAGCGCACGGCAGGCAACATTAACAGGTGCAAAATGCAGTCGAATTCAGAAGACATCAGTCATGTTGAAGTACAAACGGCTATCCTAAAAGCCCTAGCCCAGCTCAGTGCCATTCACAAGGCCATTCACAAGAGACGAGGTTGCAGCACATATGCACAGCAGAATCGCCCCACCACATCACAATGCAGCATGACCTTAGTATACGGCTACCGTCCGAAAGCGAGCAGAGCAGCTGGCCCATGCGATGGTCGCCAATCTTTTGCACCTCTTGCCGTATGCACTGCACTGCTGAGCAGAAGAAAGTCACGACGGCTGCACAAGATTGAAACCCTGTTGCTGGAGATACTGCACTGCTTCGGGCTTAAGACTGCGATGCTGACCAATGTGATATGCCAGCAAGAGAAGCCTCGTTCCAGACCAAGGCAATGTGGCATGAATCCGATGCGGCTCAAACTGAACAGCTTCCCGAGCTGAAAGTAGGTGCCCACATGGACCAGTGTCCGACAGCCGGGTCAAAACCCGCCTCGTCCTCGACAAAGATTTGTCCTCCAGCGAAGGTTGAACATGGCAACGAGAGATTGCACGATCCTTGGAGGTTTCTGCTATCGCCGATGTATTGAGTGACAATGTGCACGAGGAGAATCGCATCTGCGGGCACCACGTGCGAACCACCCCAGCAAGCGCCCTGCTAACCCACGGGTATTCGCGAGAATGCTTCAGAACGCCCGCCATGTTGCCAGAGTTGAACGCACTTATGGAGAACCGCCTCGGAGGGTGGGCACACTCGGCGGAGGGATCCTGAGTCCAACGCTCCCGAGAGTCAACCGGAAGCAGGTTAATCAGGCGCAGAAGCTGCGCCCAAGTCGCCTGACCACTGGAAATCATGCCAAATGCACTCGCCTCGCAATGACAAGTGTCCGGAACATTGAACCCTTCTACGCTAACACCCCGAATCAAGTACGTCTCGCGCTGGGCATACTCATACTTCAGGTCCTCCTCGTACGAGGTAATGGGCAGCGCACTAACCATGTACACACAACCCAGAACATATGAGTGAGGCCCCGGTGCATCCATGCCAGCTATCAGCTCCCAATCAATCGAGTTACCATCTGTTGACGTCTCGCCATCAGGAACACACTCATCTGAAGTCATTGGCAATGCACAATGAAGGGCTTCTGGAATCACAGCCCACCACACTATCACAAGCCTTGCGCCCGTCCACAAGGCCTGACCAAAACTGTGGCAGCGTACAGGCATTAATCAAACGTGCACACAATGCAAGTGCCCAGACACCGACTTCACGTGCACATCAGACGCCTGCATCAGGATGCCTTAAGGTGCACACTCAGCCAGGTCAGCCAGGTATCACGTTCAGGCCCCAGGGACAGGACCAACCGCACGGGCCCATTTAGAGCAGGCCAGGATGAAGACCACGGAGGCAATGAAGAAACCACCCTGGCACACTGCATGTCATTGCATGCCACTGCAACCACTTCAAATCACCAGAAGACTTTTCATCGCCCAGCTCTGTGACTGCAGTTTGCACATCTTGAGATGACGCCAAAACTCACGATGAAGCACAGCTGGCCTCACCATCCGGAAATACCCCCGCAGCGAACTGCCAAGCGGGCAACACAGCCAGAAGACTATTGCATCTAGCCAAAAGTGGAACGCATCCCGGATGAAGAAGGCGAATGCGGCCTCAAGCTCGTGACTTTCATGTGCTCCGAGGAAGCGCAGCAGCTAACGAAGTGGCCAGGGTAGAACGATTGGCACGATCAGCTTTTAGCTGCATAGCGACCAGCTGCAAGGAGGCATTTTGGCAAAGGGCTTTGAGACTGGCGCGCATGTTGGCCGCAGACTCGCCTTCCGCACTCACTTGGATTAAGAAGACAATGCTGTCCCCTCTCATCTCCTCAGCCATAGGACGAGTGGGATGAGGCTTGTTCCCCTGACCGCTTCCTCGAAGCAAGATGTCAATGTCCTCCAACACCTCAGCCTGCGAAAGCGGCTCCTTCGCCGTGTCAACAACGGTTCGCTGAGTGACAGCATCCCATGTGAGAAAAGGCCACGCCATTGGAGGTCCAGGGGCCAGCCATCCCATCGTCACCAACTTCTCGACATCAGTCGCCTTGGTCGGCACGCCTCAAGCCGAGCTCGAAGTTCACCAAAGTAGCACACAAGAAGAGATGTACGCATGGGCCGATCAAGCTTTTGTGGCTCATTGGCTTTAAGCGTCCTCCAAGACTACTCTGTAAACCTCCGCTTGATCGTGCCTTTTTGCCACGAGCTCGGCCCGATCAATCTGAGATTCTAGCCACTGTCGTCTAGCGCGCTTCCCAGATTGCTTTACAGACCTATGTGCGTCCTCGAAAGCAAGCTGTCGGTGCACCGCTACGGAAGCCTCCGCAAACTGTCCTACTGGTCTGGGTGCCCGGAGATTCTCATGGGCCTGCGACATGCGTGCGATTGCGTCAATGGTTCCAGGGTCACGACTAGGGAGCTTAACGCTTCTGGGTTGTTGTAGAAGTACTGTTTGCAAAGCTTAAGGATTTGGGCATTAAGCTGTTGCAGGTCCGCGCTGGGGTCAGCGTTCCAGACAAGCGTGTCAACTTGTTGCTTCAGCATTTGCGCAAGCGGGGTGTTGTCAACAACGTGCTGTCTCAGATCCCTTAAGGAGTACTCTGGTCCCTGGCGTTTGCGCATCTTATTTGCAAAACACCAGCCTGCGAGAAAAGGAACCGTCGTGACTTGGGCCCACGACGCCATGGGGCCAGGTCCAGATCGATGTGTCCCGCCTCCTTCGTGAGGCGATCTTCCACTCCACGCCTGACCAAAATGAAGTCGAGCTGGGAGCGGGTGTTCCCGTTACTGAAGGTGTGGCTGTGTATGGGCCACGCGCTTCCCCAGCTGTTGGTCATGACCAGCGATTTCCCTTCATGAGTTCCGCAAGCTCCGGGTCGGCATGTTGCCACGCCTGTCTGAGGAGCCCACGTCCAACCAGGCCCGGGATTGAGCAACAATTGGAGTTGAGATGTGCTCCAATGATCAGAAGATGCCTCTGAGGGAGGCGCTGCAGCAGGTTGCCAAGTGCCGTCCAGACTCGCTGTCGCTTGGCCTCGATCTCTGCCTGCTTGTTAGCTTGCCAGACCCACTGGTAAGCGGAGACCAAATCCAGTGTCTTCTCCCTCTGTTTGCACTGTACGTGAAGAACTCGTCCTGGTATGCAGGCGACTTGGGTGATCTCAGACGTGGCCACGATTGTTGGGGTGGATGCAGATGCCGACCCCACTGTATCGATCACTTGGATCTGCCGAGATGATTGCCTGCCAGCCTCCAATTTTCCAGCTGCCCTCTGTGCGCCCACATCCCCAGTGGAGCTCCTGCAGGAAGATCACGTCCGCCTGTGTTTGGCTCTGGAGCCACTGTGACAAAACGTCATATAGGTCCGAAGCCATGCCGCCAACGTTGTACGTCATGATTCGCAGTCGCGTGGTAGCTGCGCCTCCAGTGAGGTGCGCCGGCGGATGGCGGTGTGGTCGGTCCTGTGCAGAGGACTGGGCGGCGACCCTCGCCACGCCCATATCTGAAGCTGTGAGCCATCGTCCCCGATATTTGACCCATCCGTCTCTTGCTGCTGCATTCTGCGCCCTCTTGAAAGATCGCTTCTGAGTCCGACTGTAAGGCGTGTTCGTTGTCTGTGTTCCAGATAGTTTCGCCTCAGTGCCTGTGGCAACTGAAACTCCTCGGTCTGCAGCGGGACTCGACCGAACCCTCGGGTTTACCGGGCCAGCTTTTCGGATAAAGTAGCTGATGGCATGCCCGGCCGCCGGATTTGGGATCAGCGCTGACCAGAGCAAACAGAGCCGATGATTGTAGGGTAAGTGCAAAGACCAAGCAGAAAAAGTCTTACCAAGCACAGTCCTCCGATTGCACGAAGAGGCCCCTATCTGCAGGCTGAGTCTCCGGCCGAAACCCTTAGTAGTAGTAGCACTAGTAGTAGTAGTAGTAGTAGTAGTAGTAGTAGTAGTAGTAGTTGTTGTTGTTGTAGTTGTAGTCGTAGTAGTATAGCAGCAGTAGTAGTAGTAGTAGTAGAAGAAGAAGAAGGAGTACTAGTAGTAGGCACCCCCCCTTTCATCAATCTACTACTACCACTACTACAACTGCTACTACTACTTCTTCTACTACTACTACCTACCACCACTACCACTACCACTACCGCTGCTGCTGCTGCTCCTACTACGACTACTACGACTACTACGACTACTACGACTACGACTAAGGGTGCGTGGGGGATTGATCTCGACTTGGTTGCTGCTCTCCCCACCAGAGCTGTAATGAATGTAGGTGTGGCTGGCTAGCGCTCTCCACAGACTGGACCCTGTCTCTCCCTCTTACTTCCACACGTGCAATCCTATGCAGGCAGAACCGGCGGCCGTTCCTTTTGCACTCACTGCCGGCGGCGGTTCGTCTGTGCAACGGGATAGCTCTGATTGCTCAGGATAGAAGACACATATAGCACTTAGCTATGGGCATTGACTTGAGCCAAACGTTGCGTTGGCGGTCACATAGAAAGGTAAAGATGAGGGATGCGTAGCATGCCCCCTAGAGTCGAGGGACGCGTAGCGTGCCCCCTTCTCTTGCACTTTACACGGTCTTGCTCACAGCTCTTATAGTGACACCTTAGAACTTGACAAGGCATCGCAGTCCGTTCGCACCCCCCATGAGTTGCGTCTCCGACGCTGCTCACCCGGAAGATGGCACGATAGGACAGAAGAAAATTCCGCCGCAACGTTGACTTTGAAAATCAGAGCTTTGTATCCCAATTAGAAACGTTGTGACACTCATCTACGTCAGTAACGATCCCCTGAAATGACAAACGAATCAGGCGTCACCGAAGAAAGAAGCATTCGCGATGGCATTCCACGGGCGAAGCTCAGAGGTCACGAACTGATAGGCGAGGAAGATCAGGCGTTGTCTCGCCACCATCTTCGCGTTGACGTAGGATCGCGTTCCCAGGGCCGGAGGTTCTCCTCTGGATACTGGTTCCTTGGCTTTCCCTTGTCCTTGCCTTTGTTTCGGCCTTTGGCGGCGATGTAGTCGTGGTAGGAATTGGTGTTCCAGCCACCATGTTGCTCGCCTCCGGTTCTTCCACGCCCTTTTGAAGGTCCCTTGGATGAAGAAGCGCTTTCACGTTCCTCCGTAGTGACAGGCGTGTCCAGGATGGATGTACCACCTGGAGGAAGATAGTCAGCGGCCGAAATGTGGTGTAGGGCTTCCGTACGCTTTGTCGTCGGGTTTTGCTGTCTCTCAGTTTTGGATCTGTTCAATCTGTCCATGAAATGCGCAGGCATTTGCACACTGTGGTCCACCAGCAAGCCGATGGTCTGGACTGACTGATCAGAATGAGTCAGCAGAATACCGACGGGGTCGATGTACAAGAAGTCCACTGGTCCAGTTGGCGTTGGTCGTAGCACTGAGAATTGTTGGTGTCCCGTCACCATTGGAATCACCTCGCACAGGACGTTCAGGCAACAAAAGTGCATAGCCTTACATCTTCATCCCTGTCGCTCTTCAAGTAAGTAGTAGGGTTGAAGTTGTCCCTGCCAATTCCCATCATGTTGGCTCCCCGTACAAGTAAAGAAAGCATCTGGTTCGTCCGGAAGCGCTTCAAGGTGTAAGTCCCGTTGGGATCATACTGTTTGAGGTTCTCAGGTTCCTTTGGCAAAGCGAATGATCTCCTCATCAGTCACGTCCCTGCTCACACCCGTTTCCCTATCCACTGCCGCCAAAGATCCCCACTTTCCAAGCACATCATAGCGTTGGCCAAGTGCGAAACTTTCCCTCATCTGAAACAACGGCATAGTCGCCCACTTTGCGAATCCTGACCAAGCTTTGTAGATGGATCTGCATACCACGTATGCCATGTACGACAGAGCGGTCATGTTCGCGTCAATGCAATGGGCATTTCGCTTTCCAGAATAGTAAGATGGCTGCATGGCGGTACGTGCAAGTTGTAGCTCAGGATCGATGTTCAAAGACTGGCCGGTAATGAAGACGGGACGACGTTCCTGTGCGATTGCTTCTGGAACTGCGTCATCAAAGTCCTCTCCAGGCTCGACGTCCATTTCTTCATCAGGTTCCTGTTCTGGATCGTCTTCCGCGATGACAGATGGTTCTGGGATTTCTTCAGGTTCCGCAACGGTCTCTACCTCCATGGCTTCCTGCTCCTCTTCGGGCGCCTCAGGCACTGCGGCTGCTGCGGCTTCCATTGTCTGAGCAATGAAGTCACTGGGGATCTCCGTAGGAGTCTCCCGTTGTGGAGAACCTTGGTAATATCCGCTCGAAATGAACTGTGACCAGCAAGACGTGCATCGGGAGAAACATGCTGGAACGATGTTGTAGCATGCCGGGCATACCCTCATTCTCCGTCCATCCTCGTCTCTGCGTAGGTCTTCGGGTCGCCAATTCTTGATGACAAACTTGATTCCTTTGTCCATGTAGTGATGCCGAACCGTGTTCTCCCTGTGGGACTCCAGGACAGTCGTGAGGTCACGAATGATCTGCTCCTTGCTTGTGTCGTGGGGTCCAGGAGGCATCTCGCAAAGCAATTCCATGATCTTGCTTGGCGTTCGGTATCTCTCGAACTCGGGAAGCAACGGTGATGCATTGTAGTCCAACACCAGCTCTTTCTCCAACCTTTCATCGTAGATCTTTTCCACCAGAGCGAAAGAGTGTGTATCTCGAGGATCAGGGACGCAAAACCATACCTCCTTGACGAAATGGAAAGGTATCGTTCGACCAACGATCATGATGCCGCTGTCTGTGATACGTCCATCTTCTCGTGCAAGATCTTGCGATGGGACATGAAGGACCGCCAATGGCATGTGCTTGGCGTCTCGTCCGTGTACTCGCATCTTGGTTGTTGCATTCCGGTGATCGAACGGCGCAAACACCCCCCAATAGCTGTGGAGTCTGCCGCCTTGGTTGCCTCGGAATTGGCGCCTATGGTCGAAGTCCCCGTCGGGGTCCTCCGAACCAGGCATGATGCCTTGCGTGACAATGGAATCCAAGTTGCGGCATGCCGTAGCGTGGAACGCACCTCCAAGACGTTGCAAGAGGGTCATAGATGGAGATATTGCGAACCTGTTCTTGTCCAACTGAAGCAAGTTGTTCTGGGGATCTGAATGCGCAGAGTGACCACTCGTAGCCCGAACTGCCCATGGCTTCACCCAGCCGTTGCATAGGTTCAGGTACCTCTGGCCATGCCGGCAATGGTCGTTGTTCTGGATCTCCGTGATCTGGTCCCGAACTGATACCAACATGTTCGAACCTGCTGATCCAAGAACTTCCGTGCCGGGGTCCTTCACTCTCACACCCAGGAACTGCAACCGAATCTTGGCCTTGTTGCGTTTCGTGGCTGCAATCATGTTCCCCTGGAACAATAGCTGAAGTCTTTCATTGTACACTCTCTTCTTCTGTTGATCATCGGTCCTTGAGACCCCTTCGGTGATGCGTCTGCTTTCATGGGTCCATAGTGGCTCATGCCTCACCAAGTCTTCGATCATCACCCATCCTCCTTCATCACATTTGATGACACTGTTGAATGCCACCTGGCACCTGTTGTCAAGCCATTCCGAGCCTGGGCGCCTGGCAATTCTGTGGCGCAAGTCAGATTGGATGCATGATAGCGCCCAATCCGCGTTCAATCTGCGCTGACGGGTGATGTTGCGAAGGACAACTTCGTTCACGATGTCCCACCGATTGTTGATGAAGCTTGCACCCTTGGTTGGGATCAGGTCGAGAATCCCGCACCGGATTGGCCTTCCGCCGCCGATGGATTCATAGCCTGGATTGGTGTAGCTATGAGTGTTTTCATCGTAAGCAAAGCTAGGACGGTCTCCTCGTTGAGGTAGGCGTCGGTCGCGATGGTCCGAAAGCTGCTCAATGATGTCCACCACTCGCTGGCTATTCTCTGGTCCCGATTCCTGCAGTGGTACGCCACAAGCATCATTTAGGCCCCGACGATTCTCCACATCCGTGCAGAGATTGTGTTTGTTCTCATAACGGATCAAGACCACATCACCCCGTACGGCTTCGCCTCCGCGTCGCGGTCGGGCTTTGGCCTTGGGTCGTCGGTCCGAGGATGCAACACTCACATGATCTGTGGTGTCAACGTCCATTGGCTCAGCCTCTTGTGTAGGTACTCGACGTGGATATCGAAGAAGACTTTCCTTGATAATCTGGACGCCTCGAAGTACCAGGTCCCGGGTTGCAGCATTCTCTGTGCAATTTGACAGAGTGTGTAGGTCACTGCCACAAGCAACACAGAATGTGATGCGATCGCTTCCGACTGACATCTCGCCCTGAGCGAGTACGCCAACATAGTCCTGAAGCTGCGTGACAAATCCTTCACGAATTGCATGCCTGGGATCAGGGCCTTCTGCACCTTGCTCTTCTTCGGGTTGCGCATCCACATCCACATCCTGTGCAGGTATTGGTGGAGCAACTGAGAACCCTGGATCGTCCGTGACGTTGTCAGCGGCCTGTGTCTCGTCGGTTCTCGCAATCTCTACAGGGTAGA